CGACCAGTAACTCAACAACGGAGTGGAGGAAAGAGGTACATAGAGGGGCGGTATGCCTAGTCCTACGAACCACATTGGTGTCCTCTCCCCAGGGCTCCCAGGCCCCAAGCCCCAACATGCACCTGCTCCCCCACCTTGGATGAAAGCTCTGAACAGTTCAGCCAGGAGACACAGGGAGTGTATGTCTGGCCCCTCCTCTGACAGGGAGAGGAGAACGGTCCTGGCGCCTGTTTGGGAATCCCGAGAGGCACCGGTTCATCTTGTTACCTTGGACAGAACCCTGGATGTCCTCATTTGTCAAAGTTTAGGAGAGAAAGCAACTCGACTCTGGCCAGGCAGCAGGCCACCCCAGTCCCCTGCCCCTGTGCCACCCAGCTGGCTCAGAAAAGCACACCTCCATCAGACGATCTTGCCTCAGGCACACCTCACAGGCTAATTTTCTATTTTCTTAACTGGCTCTTCCGTGTGTCTTCTTCCTCCCCATGTAAAAAAAAAAAAAAATCCCCAAGTGCCCGGCTGTGGTTGGATGGGCAGATGAAGCTGAAGCTCAAGTTCTGTAATATCAGCTCATGGCTTCCCAGAGGCCAGAACAACCAAGAGTTTGAGACAAACGCATCAGCGCGGGGCAGGGTATGATGAGAGGAAAGAAAACCTTTGGGGATTCTACAGAGCACAACAAGTGAGATGATTAGACCCAGCAGAGCGTTGCAGAGAGCTGGGAGGAAGAGAATGACTCCCGAGTTCTGCACCCACGGCTACCCTCTCCCACAAGACCCAAGGCAGGCACCGCGTGGGCTCTCTCCCACCATGGCATCTAGCAGAGTCTGCCCTGAAAGCCCTTTCGCTGTGCAGGAGGAAGCCCGGGATGCCTAGACAGGGAGGAGCCGCCTCTTGGTTACACCCATAGCTGAGACTGGACTCGGGAGACCCATTAGTGGAATGAACTTGACAAGCCACTTGGGAGGACCAGATTTGCATCTCATGATGCAGTAACCTCAGTGGGCTCCCACCTGCCAGCCTCCCCTTGGAGAAGGTGGAGGACAAAGACCCTGGCCATTCTTGGGGAAGGACGAGAGCACAAGCCTACAAGTCTAGACACTTGCAGACGTTTTCTAATGCATTTAGTGCATGCTCGTGGGGAGACACCTTACCTTCCGGATCTCTGTTCAATGGAGCATGGGAAATTCTAAGACGGTAAGGGACCTTGGGGAATCTAGAGTAGACATAATGCCCTCATTTTACAGATGGAGAAAGCGAGGCTAAATTATTAACGTGACTTCCTCAAGATAACATGACGAACAGTAGCAAACCTGCATCTAAAATCTAAACCTTCTAGAGCCTTTTTAATATATCATGCTGCCATCCTCCGATCACCTCTGACCTCTTGCGCTCTGCCCCCAAACTGGGTGACAAGTGATTGTAAAGTACTTCCTCTCCAAAGGTCTCTGGTTCAAAATAAAGTCATGCTCTTACTCTGACGGAGCCTGGATAGAGTTAACACACGAGAAACGTTCCGAAAGCACACATTTATCCTACACGTTAGATCTAAATGGCCTCTAATATGGAGTAAATTTGTGCATCACGTGGGAGAATTAGAAAAGACGATTCATGCGGTTCTATTTCCATTGACTTGGACTCATTCTGTGCCTTCCTTCTGCCTGAAATGGCATCCCTCTAGCCCCCATGCAGCTGCCTTGCCCAACTCCAGGGCATCATTCCCGTAGAAGGAAATGTGAATAACGAGTCCCATGACTGTGCCGTGTGAGGACACTGCGGCTCACTGGTACGTCGATGGAGCAGGACTTAGAGCCCTGGACATTCGCCAATGGCTTGGAAAACGTTCTCTAGCCTCTAGTCCTCAGAGGACTCTGTGTCCCCTCTGTGAGTTCCCGTACATGTCCATGCAGGCTCAGGTCCCCTCCCAGACTGTGTGTTTGGTGCGGGAAGGAGATGAGTGCTGTGTATATTGGTATCCTGGCACCAAGAGCGGCACTTGGTTCAGAGTCGGCATCGCTTGTGAGATGACTTAGGGAAGCATTCAGCACTGAAGGGTCTGGGAGCATGCGCAGAACACAGAAAAGCACGTGGGCTTTGGAGTCAGACAGACTTCGACTGCAGTTCTTGCTCTGCTTTGTGTGTGACTTTGGCAACCCACGTATCCTCTCTCAGGTTCAGTTTTCTACAAAACAAGGCTAGTAACCTCATAGCAAAAAGGTAATAATAATAATAATAAAAATAAGAAGTTACAAAATGCATACACAAGGAAATAAGGTATTATGAGAATGTACTATCAGGAACTACGGACACCAGAACCAGCTTTACCCACCTCCCCAAGTCCAAATAAATGATCAGGTAAAACTTTAAAATAACTAACAACATGCATAAAGAAACTATAGCTCCAGTTTTGTGGAAACGTGCTTCTAAAAACAAGCTGGATTTCACGTAGCCACAGGGGTTGGAATTCCCAGACCAGTCAGCCCAAATCACACTGGGAATGTGCGTGAGTGCTCAGGATCAATCAGCTGGAGGGATGGTGGAAGGGGATTGCAGAGTCACCAGACCCTGCAGAGGGTAGTGATCGCTCTCTCTCTCTCTCGCTCTCTCTCTCTCTCGTGTGCACACTTGTGATCTATTATGAACAAAGAATGATTAAAAAATAAAAAAGACTAAAAATGTAAATAAGGTATAGGAAACCATAGAAAAGATGAAACAGATTTTCAGACGAACAAGTAAGAAACTTCAGAAATAAAAAAGAAAATCTTTGGGACCAGCAGTTAGTGTAATCGCTATGTCGCTGGACTCCCATGTAGTTGACCGGACCCGGTGGCTTAAACTCACGCTGGGTGCGTGTGCGTGCATGCCCAAGAGGAGAATGGAGGAGAAGGGATTGTGGCATGGCCATCCCCCCTGGGGGATGACTTCTTGCTTTCTGTCTCTGTTTGTCTCTGTCTTTCTGGCGAGCGCACGCACTATAGTAAAACCCCTCAAAAAAAAAAATCTTCAGAAATAAAAAATATATAATAATTGAAATTTAGAACTCAACAAATAGGCTTAATAAAATATTACACACAGCAAAGAAGCAGTGAAGTAGAAAAGAAAAGACAGGTATGAAGAAATTTACCGCCAAGCAGCACAGAGAGACAAAAAGGATGAAATACGTGGTCAAAGATTCAAAGGCAATAAAGTGAGATCTAACATGCATCTTATTAGAGTTTCAAATGGAGAGAAAGAATATGTTGGACCCAACGACAACAGGACGAGGAGAGTTCTTCAGAGCTGATGAAAGGCAAACTTCTAAAACAGAAGGCAATATCTGTATCTTTAGGATTTCAGATGAGGGAATAATTTCTTAATCAAGACAAAAAGTGCATACCATAAACTCACCTACTTTTAATTAAATACATTTATTTATTTATTTAATGCTAACACAGAGGAAAAAGACAAGCCAAAATTAGAGTTAGGCTGCAGGATACAAGGCCAATATACGAAAGTCAAATGTTTCCTATATGCTATCAATGAACAATTGGCATTTAAAATTGAAAGCGCAGTGTCATTTACACTGGCACCCCCAAGAAACTGAAAAACTTAAGTATAACTCTAACAAAATATGTGCAAAAGGAAAACTATAAAATTCTGATGAAACAAATCAAAACTCTAAGTAAATGGAGTTATTTTCTATTTTCATGAGTAGGAAGACTCAATAGCACTACGATGTTAGTTCTTTACAACTTGATCTGTAGATTCAAGCCAAGCCCAATCAAAATCCCAGCAAGTTATTTTACAAATATGCACAAACTGATTCTAAAGTTCATAGTCAATACAATACTGAGAAATAATTACATTGGAGAACTGACTCTCCCACTTCACAAGCGATGATCAACTAGACTGGCAGCCAATCAAGCAAGCAAAAGCCAGTCAAATGCTGTTCCAGTGCATTCCTGTTCAGGACAGAGCATACGCAGTAAGTTGAGGGCCAGGAGATGGTGTAGTGGCAAAGGCACTGGACTCTAACATGGTCAACCACTCTTTGAGTCCCGAACCCGGTGGCTTGAAAATCATACCAAGCATGTACATGTGCATGCCCAAAATCCCGAGTGGAGAATGGAGAAGAAGGGATTGCAGCGTGGCCATTTCCCCTGGGGATGATTTCTCACTTTCCCTTTCTCCGTCATTCTCTCTCTCTCTCCAGTTAGTGCAGATGCCCTATGGCAGAGACAATAACAAAAAGAAACAAGTTGAAGAACACTTAATGGGATGACCCCATATATATTGGGCAGTGGAAAAAGTTGCATAGAAAAAAATATGTCATGACTTTTCCAAGTACTTCAGTATGTATAGAGATATATAAAGGAAGGCAATGGAATGATAGATGCAAAACCCAAGAGAGTGATTTTCTCAGAGGGGCCAATAAACAAGGTGAAATGCGATGGGGAGGAACGCACAGGAGACTTCTCTCTTAAACCTGTTTGAAGACAAGCGTGCTCCCTTGTATACCCTAAATACCCTGCATAGTTTTCTCAGGTATTCTTTCATATAAACTCAACATTTAATAAAAGTAAAAACCTTTTTAAGTTCACAAGTTACAGAATAAAATCTGAATCATGACTTCAGCTTTTATTTGCAAAGGAACTTTAGTCACCTTGCTTAATCTCTTTGGGTCTCTGTTTCCTTCAGTATAAAATGGGGTTTATTACTACCTAAACATTGATGAAAGGGATGAATATAAAACACTAACCACATAGAGGGGATGCAGAGGTTGTATTTCTAGCATCTCCTTATCGCCACCTCCAGCATCTAACAGAATCTTGTTCTTCATGACTTGAAGACTCTCCCTAGAATAGCTCTTTGCTCCGATTAATTCTAGTACTCAGAGAGGTTCCTGCATGCCTGTTTGCTTCACATCATTTTCACAGCCACTGAAGGTAATCGCACATCTTTGCTCTCCTCTGTCTCCAAACTAGAGCACCGAAGGGAATAGAGAAAAAAGAACTGGTACTCACCATGTAGATCTCAGGAGGAAAAATGGGGTCCTGGGAGAAAATGGAAACAGTAGGTAAGCACTCTCCCTTGGCAACCCAGTGCAGATATTATATAGGAGTGTATGTTTATCTTTCACTGGGCCGATTCTAGATCGACTGCTCATGGCTACATTTTAAATTTTTAAATGTTTGCTTTTTAAAAAAATAATTATTTTATTTAACTTTATGTATGTATGTATGTTTTTTTTTTTTTGGAGAGGTTTTTACTATAGGGCGCATGCGCTTGCCAGACAGACAGAGAGAGACAGAGAGACAGAAAGTGAGAAATCACCCCCCAGGGGGGATGGCCACACCACAATCCCTTCTCCTCCACTCTCCTCTTGGGATCTTGGGCACACACGCACACATGCACACACGCCTGGAGTGAGTTTTAAGCCACCGGGTCCGGGACGCGAACTGCAGTCGACTACATGGGAGTCCAGCGACATAGCCATTACGCTAACTGCTGGTCCCTGCATTTTAATTTGACCAGAGAAGGACAGAGTGAGAGAGAGTGAGAGAGAAAGTGAGAAAGCAAACTGCCAGGTCCGAGACTCAAACCACGGTCAGCCATGTGGGAGTCCAGTACCCTTAACCACCATGTCACCTGCTGGCCCCTAATGTTTGCTTTTTAAATGTTAGAGGGTTCTGTTCTTTTCTTTCTTTCTTTTTGTTTGTTTGTTTCTTCTGTGAGTGAATCAAACAACAGATCAATGGAGACACAGCACCACCGACAGGGCTTCCATGCCGTGATCCATCCCCGGCCTCAGCCAGCCCCAGATCATAGCCGCACACATGCCTGGCACACTTAGGAAGGTCTCCCAGTGCAAACTACACGGACCGGCCCCTCAGAACATCAAGTGCTTTACCACTGGGCCACCATCTGCCCTTCACTGTTTGCCCTTAAACTGTTTAATTCTGTGCTATTTCTCTCTGTATTTCAGAGGTGAATTATTATCATAAATAATAGTGTACCACCCTAAAAACCTCAGTAAAACTGGCTATCGAAATCCTTGCTTTTCTCTCTCTTTAGTTTTGACTGTGATTTCTATTCCTTTGCAATACTGAATGTTCACATAAAGGTTTTTCGTGGTTTTGTTCTCAGGAGTGCTCCTGAGATACAGAAATGAGTGGGCATGAATGGCTCTCAGAATGTGTCTCATTGTAAGACTCTTTCCATTGACTGGAGAGAGAAGGTGGGAAGGTAAAAGATGCCAGTATTTATTTCCTGGGCTTCCAGCATTTACCAGCCAGCAAGCTCATGTCTCTTACCTCATTCAAGACGTCGTGATTGGGGATTTAGGAATAGTTATTCCAGTTTCACAACCAGCAAATAGTCCGAGGCTTAATAACCTAGCCAGGTCTCCCAGCTGAGGTTTAAAGTGGATATCTGTCCCACATGATAGAACTTTGCAAAAAATGCCCATGACCCCTAGAGATTCTGAGTTCACTCTTACTTTCATTTTTTTTTTCTTTTTCATGATAGAGTGTGTGCATATGAGAGAATGCAAGAAAGCAACAGAGAGAAAGAGAGAGACCCTCCACACCGTTAGGGCACACTGTGGTCCCCTCCTTCCAGTTCTCTGTTCCGCAGGTACAGACACTCTTGTTTGTCCCCAAAATGTTTCAGGCTGACCAGGTCACGGGGTCACGGATTCAAACCTCACTGCACATTACCATTGCACCATGGAGCCAAATTGATTTTAGGTTTTTGTTTTTTGTTCTTTAGAGAGGTTTTTGCTATAGGGCGCATGTGCTCACTAGAGAGACATTCACAGGGGATGGCCATGACATTATCCCTTCCCTCCATTCTCCTCTCAGGATTTTGGGCATACACGTACACATGTCTGGCTTGAGTTTCAATCCACCAGGTCCAGGACTCAAACCATATTCTGCTTCATGGGAGTCCAGCAATGTAACCACTATGCCATCTGCTGGTTCCAATTTTAGTATTCTTTTAAACTTCCCTGGGTGATTCTAACTATACAAAGTTGAGAACCACTGGCCTGTTCAATATAACTCTTTCCTGCCAAGAAGAGTGTAGGCTGGTCACTACCATGCTTAGTGGTTGCCTAACACATCTGGTCTTCCTACAGAGAATCCTTGCTTTATGCTCCATGAGAGTTTTCTGGTCTGTTTTGTTTTCCAGCATCTCCCCAGCATATAGAACAATGTCTGAAATGAGCAGGCACTCACCGGCCAACCCTGAGACCTGGTGGTTAAGAGAGCCTGATACCACATGGCCAACCGTTGTTCAAATGGCAGCCTGGAGGCTTCAAAAACACACTGGGTACATGTGCATGCATGCCCCAAGTCCAAGGGTGGAGAAATGGAGAAGGCATTGTGGCATGACCACTCCCTATGGGGGCGGGAGGGATGCTTTCTCCCTCTCCTCTGTCTCTCTCTGGTGAATGCATATGTCCTCTGGCAAAATAAAGGGAAAAAATGAGTAGGTACTCAATAAACCGAGAGAAAACAAATGAATAAACACTGTCCTGGCTTTTATTCTACAACATCACATCAAGTGCTAGTCCGTGCTGGGCACTGCCCTCAGTTCTGGGGATCTGGCCCTAAACCAGCCCAAGTGTAATTCCACTGAACGGAGCATCCATTCTAGAGCTGTGCTAATGAAGATATAATGCGAAACGCATGTGTAATTTAAAAATTTCTAGTAGCCACATTTAAAAAGTAAGAAGTAAATGTAATTAACTTTTAGTAATATATTTTATTGAGCACAATAGATTCAGGATACTTTTTAAACATGTATTCAATATAAAATCATTTTTATAACTCCATCAAGAGATTTACACTCTAAAATTCACCCAATCATAACCAAAAATATTAATAAGTCATTTGACACGCACTTCCCCCCACACTCAGCCCTTGAAGTCTGGTGTGTGAGGTACACGCACAGGACCTCCATTTGGACTAACCCCGTGCCCACAGCTCCCAGCTTCAAGTGGGCAGCGTCGTTCTAGAAGGTGAGGCAGACAATAAACAAGTAAACAAACTATGTACAATTAGAAAGGGTGAAGAAAAAGCCTTGTCTAAGAACAGTATTCAGCAATTGAATGATTTTAAAGGATTTATAAAAAAAATAGCAGAGTAAAAGTACATGTACTTCCAGAACTGAACATTGAACTGCATCTTCAGCATGATTCCAGATGTCCTTTGTAGCACTGCCCATTAATTGTCAGAGAGACTGTAAAATAACATCCCACATTGGACCAGCATGTAGTGTAGTGGTTGAGGTGCTGGACTCCCACATGGCTGACAGTGGGTTGAGTCCCAGATCCAGTAGTTTGAAAATCATGCCAGGTGCACGTGCATGCATGCCCAAAATCCTAAAGAGGAGAATGGAGGAGAAGGGATTGTGGTGTGCCCATCCCATCCTCCCAGGGGATGATTTCTCACTTTCTCTCTCTCTCTCTCTTTGTCTCTCTGGTGAGTGCACATGCCCTATAACAAAAATCTCTCTCTCAAAAAAAAAAAAAAAATCCTGGATTAATAGCTTCCTTGTCTGGGACCTTCTCCCAGGCTGTCCTCCTGGCATGGCCTAACCTGAGACCCTGGAGCTGTGCTAGCTCTGCACATTCTGGAAACAAGCTGAGAAGCAATGCTGTCTTCTTTGAATAGAGGTGAAGACAAGCCCAGTGTTCTCCAGTGCACCAGTGCAGCTGACTCTGGTCCAGAGAGGGGATCTGTCCCCTCTGATGCAGCTATTGGGTCGTCAAAAAAGTCATGATGCATTTTTGCATAGAAGAAAAAAAACAAAAAATATATGTCTTGACTTTTTCGACAACCCAGTAGGATAAACTGCAGTACATACCATTTTCCTGAAGTGCTTCAAGGGTCACCGTGAGAGTTCCTTGAGCCTTAGCAGCTATGCAGAAAGGGTGGGAATCTCCGCAGGCCCCAGCGAGGGACGTTCCCAGTGGCAGATCACTCTGTCTTACCACGATTTGGCCAAATGAACGAGGATATTGTAAAAATAATCTTATATTATTACCAAAGGATCATGCAGTTATCTTAAAGGCAGGTGAAATCCATTTTTCAAAATCACATTTGAGGGTCAACCCTGTAGCCTTAGTGGTTAAGGGGTTTCAGATTCCACATGGCCAACTGGGGTTCAAATCCTGGCTCCAATGGCAACTTGCCAGACATGTGTGCATGCATGCCCAAAATCCCAGGATGGAAAAATGGGGGAGAAGAGATTGTGGCATGACCACATCCCATTGTGGGGTGTGTTTCCCTCTCTCTCTGTCTTTCTGTTTTTTTCTGGTGAGTGTACTCACCCTCTAGCAATTAAAAAAAAAATCACATTTAGAAAATTCTCTTGGCTGAAATATTACCAAGACCCAAACATTAAATATTTAAATATTTGATTATTATAAATATTGTATTTGTAATTTATAATACTAAATACTGTAAAAATATAAATTATTATTAATTCATTATTGATCTAAGCTTTCTCAATATCTGCTTGGGCCAAATGATATGCAAGCATCCACAGACTGACTGTTTTCAGGATCGGTTTGGGTAAAGAGATTATAATTCCTATAACTCACTTTCATCCCCCAGTACCATAACTGTCAACTAATTTCCTGTGCACAAATAGTTACTGGCGTGTGTGTATTCCTTACTTTAACCTGTTAAATTCAGCTGGATGAAAAGTCCACTGGAGAAAACCAACAGATGGTAAGAAGTCATTTATTAAAGGTCCATCAGAATAATTAGCACTATAAAGGCAATATTTATAAATTTAAATGCTATTTTAAATATATATTGATTGCTTTAATTTTATTTGTTATTATATTTTATTCCATAATTTTTAAAATTAATTTTTATTTATTCATTCATTTATTTTAATTTGATCAGAGACAGAGAAAGTGAGAAAGCAAGCCACCAGGTCCAGGTCTCAAACCATGTTCAGTCATGTGGGCCACATGGCTGCAGTTTGAGTCCAGGACCTGGTGACTTGCTTTCTTGCTTTCCCTCTCTCTCTCTCTCTCACTCACTCTGTCCCTCTCTGGTCAAATTTAAATAAATAAATGTAAAAAACCAAACCAACAAACAAAAAATAACCAAGTGGGTATGTCTAGCACTTTAACCACCACGTCACCTCATCGCCCCATATTCCTTAATTTTACCAACAAGAGAGAGAAGGAGAGAGAGAGAGAAGGAAAGTGAGAAAGCAAACCACCAGATCTGGGACATGAACTGCAGTCGGCCATGTGGGAGCCCAGTGCCCCAACCATCGTGCCACCTGCCAGTCCTTAAATGCTATTTTTAAATAACTTGCCAGTAGTTACTGCAAAATGCAACAAAATGAATTCGTCTTGCATGTGGTGTCTATTTTTATAATTCCTGCATCTGCAACAAAAGTTGCTTCCCTTAACATTTATTTAAACATATAGGAAAGTTTATAGGACAACATACAGCTGGCATTACCCAACCGACAGGCGCAGAACAGAGCAGTTAAAAGCAAACGTTCCAGTCCTGTCCTCTACCCCTTCGTTATGGCTATGGGTCAGTTCATCTGCTGTCAGTCAGCTTCCCTAACTGTGAGGTGGGAATAATAATAGCACTTGCCTTTAAGGTTCACGTGAGAATCACCTAAGCACTCAATAACTGTGAGCTCTAACAATTTTTTTAAAAAAAATGCAAGTTGCAAAACTAATGATAATTTTTCTAAAGTAAAACCATGACCAAGATCATGATTTTTGCATAGCATTTAAAAAAAAAAACTGAACTGGGAGGATATTATTTTTATTACATTATGTTTTGCTACAGATTTACTATTTTGAATATTTTACAGTAATTTTATTTTATCAAAATTAATATGGGGAGACCAGCAGTTAGCGTAATGGCTATGTCGTTGGACTCCCATGTAGTCGACCATGGTTCGTCTCCCGGACCTGGTGGCTTAAAAAAAAACTCACGTGCCCAAGATCCCGAGAGGAGAATGGAGGAGAAGGGATTGAGGCATGGCCATCCCCCCTGGGGGGTGATTTCTCGCTTTCTGTCTCTATGTCTCTCTCTGTCAGCCTGGCAAGTGCGCGCGCCCTATAGGGAAAACCTCTCCAAAAAAAAAAAAAAATTAATATGGGGCCAGGCTGTGACCTGTTTTTCTTTTCTTTTTCTTTTTTTTCTTTTCTTTTCTTTTTTTAAGAGGTCTTTGCCTGATGGTACATGATCTTGCTGGAGAGAGAGGCAGAGACAGTGAGAAGGAAAGTGAGAAATCACTACCCAGGGTGGATGGCCATGCTGAAATTCCTTCTCCTCCATTATCCTTCCAGGATGATAGACACAGCCACATACATGCCTGCTGTGACTTTCAAGCCACCAGGACTGGGACTTGAACCATGGTCAGCCATGAGGGAGTCCAGCGACACAACCACTATGCCATCTGCTGGACCAGTGGCCCGGTGTTTAAGGAAATCGGGTGGCTTGATAAGCACACTAGGCATGTGTGCATGTATACCAAAAATATTGACAGGATAGAAAAATGGAGGAGAAGGGATTGCAGCGTGACCATTCCTGAACGGGAGTGATTTCTCTCTCTGTGTCTCTCTCTAGCAAGTGCATGCACCTCTGGCAATTCAAAAAAAAAAAAAAGAAAAAAGAAATACATTTTAAGCATTAATAAAATTTATATCTGTGAGTTGCATAATACACATTTTTTGGTTTTGGGGGGAGTTTGCCAGAGGGCATGTGGAGAGGCCTCACACACAGAGGGGGGAAAGTGAGAAATCACCACCCCAGGGAGGACGGCCACGCCACAATCTCTTCTCCTCCATTCTCACAGGATTCTGGGCACACTCGCACACATGCCCAATGTGAGTTTCAAGCCACCAGGTCCAAGACTTGCAACACAGCCAGCAATGTGGGAGTCCAGCAGTTTCATCACCACATCACCTGTTGGCCCCAATATACATTTTTTTAAGGATTATTTTTTATTTAATTTTTTTCATCTTTTTTTTTTTTTTTATTTGACCAGAGAGAGACACGGTGGGTGGGTGGTGGGTGGGAAGAAGTGAGAAAGCAAGCTGCCAAGTCCAGGACTTGAACTGCTGTCAGCCATGTGGGAATCCAGTGCCTTAACCACCACACTGCCTGCTGGCCCCACAGTTTTCTTATTGTATGTGGAAATGGAGGGGTAAGGGTATAGAAATGGCAGGGCCGGCTTGTGACCTCGTTGTTAAGGCAGCCAAGTCCCACATGGTCAACTACCTGGTTCAGGTCCTAGACCCCAGCAGTTTGAAAAACATGCCAGGTGCATGTGCATGAGTGGCAAAAATCCCAAAGGGGAGAGGAGTAGAATAGAAGGGATTGTGGTGTGGCCATTTTCACAGGAAACGCTTTCTCCTCTCTCTCTCTCTCTCTCTCGTCTCTCTGGCAAGAACAACCACCCTCTAGCAATTGAAAAAAGAAAGAAAGAGAGAGAAAGAGATAGAGAGAAAGAGAAAAGGAAAGAAAGAGAGAGAGAGAGAGAAGACAAGGGTCGAGGTGTAGCACTATGCACTGGAGTCTATAAACCTTTATGAGTTATAAACCTGCGAGGGCTCAGTCAGAAACTCTGCTAGTAGGAGGTGACCCAGAGTCCTCATGCTACGGAGCCACTGTGCGGCCCTGGCAGGTGCACCTTCACCAGGCTCTGGGGAGGTTGCTGAACTCCAGCTCTCCCAGTCAGTGCAGGCAGAATTCAGAGTTCAACCTGCACATTTTGAGCTAAAGCTTTCTACAGAGCTTTCAGAACAAAGATTCCAAACAATATGGGCTTTTGAGGAATCCAAGCCGGGGGATTCACACCGAGCAGCGTCAGACTCAACAACGCCCCCGATTTAGACTCTGAGCTCATCCATGGCGATCACAGTCACCACGTCACAGTCTGACCTTCGGATGCCATTTCACTGGCGCTCGAGGGAGAGTAAAAAGGAAGACACCAGGTCTGTGTTAGAAAACACAAACCTTGGGGAGGGGGCAGAAGATAGCGTACATCACTGGACTCCCCCATGGTCAACCACGGTTCGAGTCCCAGACCCAGTGGCTTGAGATTCATGCCCAGAGTGTGTGCGTGCGTAACCAAAATACAAGAGGAGAATGGAGGAGAAGGGACTGTGGAGTGGCCATCCCTCCTGGGGGGTGATTTCTCACTTTATCTCTCGGTCTCTGGCAAGCACATGCACCCTATAGCAAAATCTCCCCCGACCCCAAAGAAAACGAAACACAAGCCTTTTCTTGAATTGTTCTGGAATACTCATTCAGATACTCCAGAACACTTCTGGTGTGTTCCAGATGTACAGGGCACAAGAAGAGAGACGGTGAGTACGCGGGCTGAGTCACCTGCTGTGTGAAGGCCTTCCGCTCCCAGCCCACCCAGACCCAGCTCTGCCAACCAGCTGTACCCGTCATGCCTCTCCCTTCATGCTGTCTGCACAGGTGTGAGGCACAACGGCTCTGGGTCCTGGGGCCCCAGGTCTTCACGATGGTGCCGCTCCTACACAGTTTCAGTCTGAGCGTTCTTACCTTCATGGACGTGAGGTTTGGTCTCTTTCTTGTTTTCAAAGTTGGCAAGGAAGTCAAATTGCTTTTCTTTAGCTTTTTAGCATCCATTTGACTCCTACAGGAGAGAGTGTCAAACATAAGCAGGAAGACACAGGATTCAGGGGACACAGATGTGTGCTCCTGCGCTTATGGCTGACTTCCCACACGGCTTGGGGAGCCACCAAGGGCCACACCTCCTGCCCTTTGCCACGCAGTGATGCAGCCAGAACACCCCCGAGAGGTCGCCTTGGACCTTGGGCCTCCAAACTGTGAGGTGAATAAACCTTCATTTTTATAAACAAGATAAAAACACTAAATAAATGCACCGGGCACTAGCGGGAAAACGTAAGTAATGGCTCACACACCCAGGGGTGGAAGAAAGCAGGTTGGGCTTGAAGAAAAGGAGGCCTGAAAGGGCGGCAGAGTCTGCTTCTCCTCTTGCTTCCCTTCTGGGGCTCAGAGGAAGTCAGGAGGGCAGAGGGGGAGACGGGAGCCAGGGGCGGAGGAGATAATGGGGTGGTCAGCAGTCGAAGACACCAGCAACAAGACCCATTTTCCCTAGCTAACTGCAAAGTAACCTCACTCTGTAGCCACAGATACAGTCCTTTACAGTATGGATGACCCGCGGGCTGCTTGAATAGCTTCGAGTTTATAGAAAGGGAAAGGGAAGGGGGTGGCTGGAAGGGAAACTTTTCCTGGCTCCTACTCGGCCATGTTTGTACCTTCATTCAGACCGCCGCTCAGTGAGTAAGGAACTCTCTGCAAAATGAAAAAACTTGTCTAAGTTTGTGGGACCTGCGGGACCTGGTGATTTACATAAGGGAAAACAATCTTAGACTGCTGTCAGGACACTTACACTCCTTGTCACATTAGCAGGGCACTGCTGGAAATCTGCCCTCAGAGGTCATCTTTCGGCCTCACCCTATAAGAGCTAAGGGAATGAAGAATACGGGGACCAGCAGTTAGCGTAATGGCTATGTCGCTGGACTCCCATGTAGTCGACTGCAGTTTGAGTCCTGGACTTGGTGGCTTAAACTCACGCCTAGTGAGTGTGCGTGTGTGTCCAAGATCCCGAGAGGAGAACGAAGGAGAAGGGATTGTGGAGTGGCCATCCCCCCTGGGGGGTGATTTCTCACCTTCTATCTCTCTGTCTCTCTCTGTCTTTCTGGCGATCACATACGCCCTATAGCAAAAGCCTCTCCAAAAACAAAAAAAGAATACAAGAAAGAGGAGCAGAACAGGGACCAACACCGGAAGCTCCCGCGGCTTGGTTCTCCATATTGGCAGGCTCATGCTGTTAATAAACAATGACAACACCCCACTTCTGAATTATTAAGGACTGAAGAAAAGTCGTCCCAACACATGTTGCAGCATAAATATTGAAAAATCAGAACTTACTTGTCCATATATAATGGGAAGTTAAAAAATATGGCACACATATGTTTTGTAGAATACGACACAGTTCTTTAAGAAGGTAGATCTTTGGGTATGCTTGTAATATATTGAGCAAAAACAGAAACAATCTGTGTAATATGATCCTGTATCTTTTTGATTAAAAACATAAGATGTTTGCATTTCCTTTATATCTTTTTAAAAAATTATGTATTTATGTATCTATTTGTCATGATTTTCAAGCCACCCCAGTCCGCAGTCCACAACGTGAACTGCTGTCAGTCATGTGGGAATCTAGTGCCTTAACCATCATGTCACCTGCTGACCCCTTCTTTTGGTATCTTTATACGAGTATATTGAAGGATCTGGAAGAAATTAACTGTAAAAAGAGATTACCCCTGGGACCAGCAGGGGTAATTGGCTATGTCGCTGGACTCCCATGTGGTCGACCATGGTTCGAGTTCCGGACCCAGTGGTTTAAACTCATGCCGGGCCCTATAGCTAAAACCTCTCCAAAAAAAAAAAAAAAAAAAGAATTACTCTTATAGGGGCATTGAGGGAGGTGAGTGGGAACATTGGAACATTAATTTTTATTTTTTATTATTTTTTTATTTTTTATTTTTTTGGAGAGGTTTTCACTATAGGGCGTGTGCACTCGCCAGACAGACAGAGAGAGACAGAGAGACAGAAAGCAAGAAATCACCCCCCAGGGAGGATGGTCATGCCGCAATCCCTTCTCCTCCATCCTCCTCTTGGGATCTTGGGCACGCACGCACATGTGCCCGGCGTGAGTTTAAGCCACCGGGTCTAGGACACGAACCGCGGTTGACTACGTGGGAGTCCAGCAACATAGCCATTACTCTAACTGCTGTTTCCCAGAACATTAATTTTTTTTTTGAAGGTTTTTGCCATAAGGCTTGTGAATTTGCTGGAGAGAAACAGAGAGAGATATTGAGAGAAGAAGTAAGAGATAACCCTGCAGGGGGGATGACCATGTCACAATCTCTTCTTTATTCTTTTCCTGGGATTTTGAGCACAGACACAGACATGCCCAGCATGAGTTTCAAACCGACAAGTCTAGGGCTCAAACCGCAATCGGCCATGTGGGAGTCCAATGCTATAACCACTGTGCCATCTGCTGGTTCAGAGCGTTCATTTTAACACACACATGCAACAACAACAACAAAAAAATACAATGCAAAAGAAAACAAAAGGTAATCGCTGTTTCTCTTCCCATAATCATAGTTTCACCTCTTCCCTCTCTCCCTTCCTTCCTACAAACATGGCTGAGACACTTCACAGATAAACCAGGTTCCTACCCTCTGGGAGAACTCTACCCAGGAGAGGAGACGCACGAAAGTGGATCATGACACACACAGGCGACCACGCAGAGGGGCATGGGCTCGTAGCACGCACGTCCAAGTGGTGACTACTCCCGCGGGACAGCTGAGGGAGACTTCACACCTGGGCAGAAGAGAACCATCCCTGAAGAATGGGCAAGACAGGCAGTCAAGGGCAGGGAAGCACGCTGCACGGAGAACAGAAAAGCATGAACGAGCACCGCCTTCTCCAGTGGTGGGCATAGTCCTTGCACACTGACAATGGAGGTCCAGGCAGGCGGGTTAGATCGCAAGGGGGCACACAGTCCAGAGTCTTGGGCCTGTGTGGTGGATCATGACACACACAGGCGACCACGCAGAGGGGCATGGGCTCGTAGCACGCACGTCCAAGTGGTGACTACTCCCGCGGGACAGCTGAGGGAGACTTCACACCTGGGCAGAAGAGAACCATCCCTGAAGAACGGGCAAGACAGGCAGTCAAGGGCAGGGAAGCACACTGCATGGAGAACAGAAAAGCGTGAACGAGCACTGCCTTCTCCAGTGGTGGGCACAGTCCTTGCACACTGCCAGTGGAGGTCCAGGCAGGCGGGCTAGATCGCAAGGAGGCACACAGTCCAGAGTCTTGGGCCTGTGTGGCTAGCCGAAGTCTGGGCTGACAGGACCAGATTTACAGGTCAGAACCATCTATCTGGCGATATCATGGAGCACGGGTTGGAAACTCAGTTGGAAGCCATTTTATTATTTTATTTTTAAATTTAATTTAATTTATTTATTTTTATTGCTATAGGATGTGTGCACTCACTAGACAGACAGAGAGAGACAGCGAGACAGAAAGGGAGCAATCACACCACCGCAATCCCTTCTCCTCCATTCTCCTCTCGGGATCTTAGGCACGCACGCACACATGCCCAGCGTGAGTTTAAGCCACTGGGTCCGGGACTCGAACCGTGATTGGTTACATGGGAGTCCAGTGGCATAGCCATTATGCTAACTGCTGGTCCCGGAAGCCATTTTAGATGTGTAGGAAAGAAAGGATGAGAAGTTCAGCGAAGGCCATGGCAGTGAGGCTGGAGTGGAAGCATGAATCTGAGGACTATTTGGCAAGCTGAATAAGTAGAGTCTTAGCCATCAACTAGATGTAGAGTTTATAAAATCCCAACACTGGGGGAAAATGACTACAATAATTTTTCCTGCCAAAACTGTGTCAAGCACTCCCTCCATCTACTTCCCCGGATGGCAAAGTAACTGTGTTCCAAACGATTCGAGTATTGCTCTCTAGGTAAAGAGAAGGGCCAAGCCTGGAAGGAAATGCTGAGGAATCTCGGAGTCCTTTCTCGGTGCTGACAACAATACTCAGTGCCATGATGTGGAACGAGCCATTTGTGTTCTCTGCTCTCAGTTCTACCATCTGTAAAATGACAAGATTGGACCAGATGACTCCAAACGTTCTTAGTTTAAATTCTATGAAAATACTGTCAGGCTGAAAAAAGGAATTTTTGTTGTGACTTATCCTATCATTTCCCTCTCTTGGATAATCGCCAAGGCTATCAAAGATTCTTGTTTTGTGCTTTTCTTTATGCATCCAACATGGCTTCCAACAATAACACTTAGCCTCTACTTGAGGCTTTGCAACGGTCACTTTTTAACCTCAAAATACGTGGTGAACTACACAGAAGAAGAATTTAAATACTCTCATATTTCGTCTGCATCTTGTTGCAAGGAAGGATTGAGGATAACCAATAAACTTAGCTCAGAGCTAAAGTGAATTCTTCTTTGAGAACTGAAAGCCTCAGTTTAAAAACCTGCATTACTATCTTACATGCAGATCATAGTCCCCCCCACACACACACAGATCTCTTTTCTCTGAATTTCAACAGTACTCTCACTGATGGCCCTCATTTTGTCACTCAGTCAACAGTTTTAGAGCTACTCACTAGGTTGCAGGAAAAGTCATGATGTATTTTTTCTGTGTCATTTTTTCTTTTCCAACAATTCAACATTTTTTTTTTTCTTGGAAAGGTTTCTGCTATAGGGTGCGTGTGCATGCCAGAAAGACAGAGAGACACAGAGAGACAGAAAACAAGAAATCACCACTCAGGGAGGATGGCCACGTTGCAATCCCTTCTACATTCTCCTCTTGGGATCTTGGGCATGCATGCACATGTGCCTGGTGTGAGTTTAAGCCACCGGGTCTGGGATTTGAACCATGGTCGACCACGTGGGAATCCAACAACATAGCCATTACGCCAACTGCTGGTCCCTTCAACAGTTATCTTAAGTGTACATATTTTTGTCTCATCTTGATGTGAGTCTTTTGGGGACATGGACGATGAGCTTCTATATTTTCTTTTTATCCTTCCTTTCTCCATAGGGGTAATGACAGTGACTTGCCTGTTGAAATGTCCTTGTGGAAGGAAATCTAAAATAGTTTAGATCAAGTCAACAAAAAATTTCTCAGTTTCAGCTATGTGCCAGCTACAGAGCTCAGCATGCGGAATTCAGACAAATAAAACAGAATCCTCACTTTCAAGGAGTTCAGAGTCTGGAAGGCAGGCCAGACCTCCAGCCAGTGGCATCAGCATTACCGTCTGCTTAGTATTTCACCGGCGGGCACGACCTGCATAGAGAGCACTTGCACATCCAGAAAGGAAGTATGCCCTTGTGAGTTACCTGTTCCGATTTCGGAATTTATACTGCACTGGTCAGTAGCTTGACCTTTACGCCTTGGGGGCTGCTTTGGGGGCAGTAATGGTGGTAGCGTAGGACTCGCAGGGGTTCCCTCTGCATTCTGTGAACAGGAAACCGTGTATGGACTGCCCTTCAGTTACACTCACTTCTGCCAAAGAGAATCCTCTGTACACGTGAGGGTTCACTGACTCACAGACTCTTCCAAAGCTGGACGGGGTTTTAGAAACCACCTCATCCATTTTCCCACCCTGGGTAGGAATCCTCTCTACGGGAAACCTGACAATCACTCCCTCTGTTCTAGACTCTTTCTGCAGGGGAGCTCACTGTTTTTCCGGGCAAGCCCTTTTACGCTCAGCTGTTAGTTTACAAATGGTTGTGCTTGATAAGTACATTTTGGTCGTGTGGGGAGAATAAATTACATTGAGTGAAATATCATCCACTGAGCCATGCTATCTCCAGCAGAGCAACAAATAACAAATCCATCCTCTTTTCTACTCAAGAGTTTTTGTTTGTTTCTTAATTTGCTAGCGGGGGACATGTACTTGCCAGAGACATAAAGAAGGAACATGAGAAAGCAACCGCCTCTGGGGGACGGTCATGCTGCAGTTCCTTCTCTTTCGCCTCTCCCTCCTTTCAGGGTTTTGGACCAGCACGCACATGCGCCCAGTGTTTTCCAAGTCAGCCAGTTCCATGGGTCTAACTGCGGTCAGCACGTGGGATTCAGTCACCCCACCCGCCATGCTACAGCTATCCCAAGAGTTCTTGAATGTTCAAAACTTCAATGGAAAAGGTTCGTCTCTCTCTTGCACCTACCCATCCCCTCCAGGCATTCTGTAGGTTTTTCCAATCATGCCTCATGAAGAGCATCTAGACATAGAGAGAGCCTATATTGGGGTCGTCCCTCTCTGTTTGCTAGGTTATTATGAACTCTCTTAAAGTGGCTTCAAGCTTCCTAGAGTCTAGTCTGCTCTAACCATCACTAACCCAGGAGTGAGACCGTATATCCCTCCACGCGCTACTTGTACTCTATTACGGCAGCCTAGACCAGCATTTGTTCCTTTTACCTGTCACCGTGCGGTCACATTGGGTTTGCGGTCAGCTAAAACTACTAATTCCCAGCTCTGTGCCTGCTGCAGTTTAGGCAGCATGCTTGCTTGCTTGCTTCCTTCCTTCCTTTCTTCTTTTTTGGAGAGGTTTTTGCTATAGGGCGCATGGGCTCGCCAGAGAGACAGAAAGCAAAAAATCCCCTCACACGGGAGATGGCCACACTGCAATCCCTTCTCCAATCTCCTCTCGGGATCTTGGACATGCACACACACGCGCCCGGCTTGAGTTTAAGCCACCTAGTCTGGGACTCAAACCACAGTCGACCACATGGAAGTCCACCGACATAGCCATTACGCCAACTGCTGGTCCCTAGGCAGCATGCATTCTAGCCAGGCTGCAGGCAACAGGGTGGAGTCAGGAAAGAGCAGCTGGCACACTGCTGGAGACCCCCCTCTGGGTGACTCCTACTCTCTGGATAAGGACTAAAACAAAAAGAGAAATACTGGGTCATCGGGATAGTCACAATTATGACTTTCCTGAAGACCTAATAATAGGCTTAAATCACAGAACCAAGCAGGCATGTCTGTTTAAAGAATTCCAGGAACTCTTAGATTTCACATGTCTCCCATGTCCCTGTGGGTGATCAAACCTCCCCAGCAAGACTGGCTACGAAGAATATTTACAGCTGCAGTTTCCACAGTTCGAACCTTTCCATTTAAATGACCTCATTGGTTTGCCAAGGCTCCATTTAAGCCTCGACAGTGACGCTTGAATGAAGACTGATGAAGCAGTCCATTGTTTAAATTTTATCAGAGGGGTTACAAATCTCTTAAGCCCAGATGGGCTGGTGACTTTTCAAATAGCAAATGCCACACATTAAGTATCGTAGTAAGACCTCCAGTTTCGTGCTGCTCGTCTCCTTTTGAAGGACAGTTTTGCTAGTCCTGGGAATCTCTCCAGAGTGGGAGCAAGTTCCACCCGGAGGAAAGCGATGCTCCGAGTGAGCCGCACACACCTGCTCAGTCAGGAGGCCGAGCTCTGCTTGGGCAGTTACCAGACAGGGCCGGCTGGCAGGACGCTTAATACCGGTCGGAAACGATCTGCGGTGGCGTTAGGAAAGGGAGGAGGCAAGTTTCTCCTAGAGCTGCCGGGCTCAGAGCGGGAAGCAGTTTCGGGTCGGTCTCGCGAACGCCCTAGAACCCCTCTGTCCCGCGACTCAGCTGCAGGCGGCGGTGCAACATTCTGTCAGAAAGCCCAATCCACTCTGGGTTCTGCCGGGACAGCTGCTGACTGCAAGCTCTGAGCTCGAACTCGGCTTCTGGGGACTCATACCCACGTTTCTCCTCGGACCCACACGCCAGGGCTACTTTTTGCATTCCTTTAGCTTTAGCATTTCGTTCGCCCCATCCCCCTGTGGTCCCAGACGCTTCTCCCCAAGAAAGACTTGGCCAGTCCCAAGGCTGACTAGACGCGCGTAGACCCGCAAGCCCCTTCCGCCTCCCCACCCTTACTTTTTTCCGGTGGGGACGGGAGGTGGGAGGAGCTGCATCAGGCTGGCGCAGGTCAGGGTGAGCAGGGGCTGGGAGGAGTAACCCGCCCAGGAGGGCCACACCCTCCTCCCGTCGCTATAGAAACGACTTCCCCCTTTTTGTGACTGCGGAGCTGGAAGCGCTCAGGCCCAGTCCAGACCCAGATCACCTTTCGCGTTGGCCTGGAGATCATTTTCGTCCCACTCCCATTCTCTTCCCCTAGTTCTTAAAAGTATTGGGCAGGAAGGACCAGCAGGTGGCATGGTGGTCCAGATGCTGGACACGACCATGCGGATGACCACGGTTCGAGTCCCAGACCTGGTGGCTTAGTTTCTCTCTCTCTCTGTTTGTATGTGTGTCTCTGGTGAAATTAAGTGATGAATAAATAAAATTAGATAAAATATTTTTTAAAGAAAATATAGGGCAAGAATTCCACAAATTCTTCAACAAGTTAAAGTAAGCTAAACAGAACAGACATTTGTAATTATCCCTACCCTCCCTCTCTTCAAAAAAAGGGGGGGGGAGTAGTTCTTGATATAATTCATTTGGCAGAGAATGCTTTTTGAGCTCTTACTCTGCACCATTTTGTAATTCCCCCCCCCCCCCCTCTCTTAAAAAAAAGGGGGGGGGGAGTAGTTCTTGATATAATTCATTTGGCAGAGAATGCTTTTTGAGCTCTTACTCTGCACCAGGTCGTAAGGAAAGTTATAACAATAGCTTGACCTGAAGGATTACAGTGTCATCCAAGGAGAAAACATTTAAATAAAGCTTTGATTTTTTTTTTAAGAAAAAAAAAAAGTGAAAAAAAAATTTTGGAGAGGTTTTCGCTACAGGGCGTGTGCACTCGCCAGACAGACAGAGACAGAGACAGAAAGCGAGAAATCACCCCCCAGAGGGGATGGTCACGCCGCAATCCCTTCTCCTCTTGGGATCTTGGGCATGCATGCACACCGGGTCCGGGACGCGAACCGCGGCCGACTACATGGGGATCCAGCGACATAGCCATTACGCTAACTGCTGGTTCCCAAGTAAGTGAAATTTTAATTGTCAGAGTGCATGCACTCACCAAAGAAAGGGGGAGAAAGCACCCCCCAGTGGCATGGCTACACTGCAAGCCCTTCTTTTCCATTTCTCCATGCTTGTGGGGTTTGGGGCATGCACACGTGCCCCACGTTTTTCAAGCCACTGGGTCCAGGGCTGGAATCACAGTTGGCCATGTGGGATCTGGCTTTCTTAACCCCTAGACCATAGTGCCAGCCCACATGAAGCTTTTGGAAAGAGCCAAGTTGAATTTGTGTCACCAAGAAAAGGAGTTAGCCATCCAAAGGAGGCATATAAGCACAGCCCAAGTGGCAGTGCCACAGGAAAGCTTGGTCGGACTGGTGCCAGCACTGTTCAAGGCCAGAGCAGGGGTCAGAGGTGTCCATGGGCAGAGACAGGGCCGAGCAGGCAAGGGCCCATCAGCTGGTAAGCAGCTTGTGAACTAGACTGGGGCTGGAAGCGCTTAGGTGTACGTGGGTGGACTGGACACGGGTGTTTATGTTTGGATTTCACTGTAGACAACTCCCCATGGCAATAACAGCATTGAGGATAGGCCAAGAAGCAAAGCGGGAGTGCCTGTTAGAAGGACTAATAAAGGTGACAATAGAAGGTTCCCGCAAAGCCCACTAAATCAATTAGTACTCACCGTGCTTTGCACAAATAACACCAAGCTGACACCAAACTTACTTTCTTGCAAATAAGTTAGTTTATGCTTCTCTTTGGTAAAAGGGGGAATGAAGAGAGAGAAAAAAAGTTTCAGAAGAAAACTATAGTGCACGCTACTAGATTTTAGCTCTGTCCATATTTGTGTTTTGAGTTTTTAGTGCCTATCTACTGTTAGAACAGAATCCTCTTTTGTCCTGTCTTAGGCAAATTTTTCTTTCTTTTTTTTTTTTTAATCTTGATTCATTAAAGCTAAAACTGCTTTTCTTGAAATTAAAAAATACTAATAGCAAACTAAAGACAGTGCAGAAGGGTGGGCAATGCGGGGAAGGGAACCAAGGGGGAAACAAAGAACATTAAATGGGCACAAAAGTGGAAAACTGCTGGTAATAATGTGTACGGTAATATCTTTGACTAGACAGATATGCAGTGTCTAAGGGTGGCAAAATTCATTTTGAATGCTGTAAAGATGTAGTGATGACATTTTAAGTTTTTTTTAAATAAAAAAATATGAAGTGATATTTCAGAGTAAGGGAGAGCAAATGGAGGAGTCCTCATGGGAGATGAAAGACATGGAAAAGAACATGGTGACAGGCGTGAAGGGTAAGAGAGGGAGTAAACCACACCTCCAGACGACACCTCGGGCAGCACCTGCATCGACGCTGGTGCCGGTCACTAGGAAGGTGCAGGACGAAGGGCGGGCAGGTACTGCGTTTAGAGACTGACCAGGCCACAGGTCCTGTGCAAGAGGAAGGTCCTGCCTTGCCGTCAGTGTCACATGAGTGACCCCTGAAGCTGGGAGTCACCTAAGCTCACGAGAAAAGGGCAAGGTGGAGGAAGGACCGGGAAGGACGCGCGGAAACAGGAGCTGTTGTAGACGTGGGTGGGTGATGCAGAAGACTAGAAAGCTGCCAGACAGAGAAGAGCGGGCAGGGGCTGGGCGAAAACTACAGGAAAGGTGGCGGGCATGCCAAGGAGATAAAATGTTTTCACAGAGGATGACCAATAGGGTAAGACTCGGTGAGAAAAACGAGCACAGGGTTCTGCAACATGAAGGGTATCGGAGTTTTCAGCCAGGCTAGTTTCAAAATACCTGGAGGCTGGGGCCAGCAGGGGGCATGTGGTTAAAGCAGCTGGATCCCACGTAGTTGACTCTGTGGTTTGAGTACCGAACCCGGCAGCTTGAAAGTCATGCTGGGCACGAGTGCGTGCCCAAAATCCTGAGAGAAGAGTGGAGAGGAGATTGTGGTGTGGCCACCCCACCTGGAGGGTCACTTATCACTGTCCCTCCCTCTGTTTCTCTCTGGCGAGTGCATGCACTCTATGGCAAAAACCTATAAGACAAACAGCTCTGTGATAACGTTCAAACAAACTATCGATACGAATGACATGACGAAACCTCAATATTATGTAACTGAAAAGTACGTGTTAACAAGGGGAGTGATGGAGTAGGCGGGGTCAGGTACAACAGCATAAAAACACTCTAAATAAGGAAAACAATGTACCATAGTAACAGCAAGTGCTCACTTTAATCATAATTCTAAGTTACTTACTTTCACATTAACAGAGATGTTCCTATTAACCAAGAACTGAGCTAAGTATTATATATATTTTAATGATTAACATGATTTGAAGTTATTTTTTTAAAAAGTCATCAGGAGCTGGCTGAAAATTCTTACCATAAATATATTCTCTACATTTTTAATCACAATAAATTCAAATCTAAACTTCCTGAAAAGCTATGCTCTCTAATATTATACAGGGAGGTCAGAGTACTTAACTGCTCTTTAAAGTACTGGCTTAACATAAAGTGATTACTCCCAGAAACAGCATCCCCTTCTTTCACATTTACAATAAGAAAGGCTACGATCCTCTGCCAAGTTCTCATTTTATCGTGAAATGCAGACACTAAGACAGGTGCGTGCGGTGGTAGCAAGGAGAAGAGCATCTCAACACTCTTACTTTTATTAAGGCTTTTGACAAGGAAGAATATAAAATGCCATTACAGTCTACTAGCTACAGAGTAACCATCTATCCCCAAGCAGGAGACACGGGCCACAGTACAGCAGCCACTTCAACGTGTACAGGCCTTCTGAGTTCTCACTGTAAGAACACTCGGCTAAAGTCAAAGCATCTTTGCAATGAAACAGACAGCACAGCTTACGTAGCTTATAGGCTTCCGAAGACTGTCCTGAAACAAATGGGAACGCTCGCCTTTGCCAGCTGAGTTCTGAGCAGTTCAAGTGAAGGTGCCAGAAAGCTGACAAGCTGGAGAGGAGTATATCCCACTGGAGAAGAGCAGTGTGTGTGCGCTAGGACCTTCACGTCAAACTGATAGCCATCGACGACAATGACTTATTATACAGAGGCAGACAGGATATGCACTGCAGAAGGAAACGGTGAGAAGGCAATTCTTACAAACAAACCTCTTACCAGAGTCTTGTATAGCATTTCAGAGAGCGTAATTACAAAATGGGCACAGACCATTCACATAACATGTTAAAGGATTCCGTTTATATTACAATGACCTCGAATATAAACTCGAGCAATTATAAACACACTTGCAAAACCGACCCTTTGGGACATTTCTTTGCTACCACACTCAGCCACTAGAGGCGTTTGGATGCAAAGGTTTAACTCGTGCTAATCTGGACAAGCCAAGGCGGAGACTCTGATTTGGAGACTTTACAGACATCCCAGCCAGCGGGCTACTGCTGCTGCTGCTGCTTCCAGATGCCGCTGAAAGAAAACAAATGACACAACGCTGATCATGTCAGGAACTTCTTAACAAAAACTAATTCATAAAACTGAAGAAGCAAAAAAGCAGTTGTTAGCTGCTTCCCAGGGTGTATGAAACAATAAACTATATTTAAAAAATGCAAAGTACTAAAGAGCAGAAAGACTACATTCTTGTGTGTTCTCAACCCAAAAGCATAGTAATGACACCAACACTTCAACCAGGAAAGCTGAGACAGGAAAGTTGGGAGCAAACAACACTGGTTGTAAAGGCATTCAGAAATGCATAAAACTATACTTTCTAAAGTAATCAAAAAATCAAATGCATTTTGAAAAGTCCTATCATTTTTACAAGGAGAGAGTGACTATCCTATCCCTTATCCAAACTGCTGAGACCAGTAGTATGTCAGATTTTGGAACATGTGCACATACACAGATACCTTGGGGACAGAACCCAAGCCTAAATAGGAAATTCGCTGATATTCCTTATACTGCTTACATACTGCATGAAGGTAATTTCATACATTTTGTATTGCAGCATTCTAACTGCAACCCATCACGAGTCAGGTGCAGCATGTTCCACTGCCTAGCATTATCTTGGAGCTCAGAAAGGTTCATGCTGTGGAGCACTTCGGATTTTGAAGTTTTCAATGAGGAGTGTTCGAACTATACTCAGGTCTATTTTGTAATTACTGAATAAGTCTGCGGATGGAATCATGTCTGTACTGACTTACACTAGTCTCATTTATACCACCACTCTATCACAGCAATTATTCCCACCTAGTATTCGATTTCGAAATTCACCCATGTTAAACGTTCACAGTTGACAACGACTATAGTCACTGCTCTAAAAAGGGGTTACATTACAAGGAGAGACAGTGTGGGGCGTGGTCAGGCTGTAATCCCTTCTCCATTTTTCCATCCTGTCAGGATTTGGGGCACACATGAAAACAAATCACTGGGGCTGGGATTTGAACCATGCTCAGTCACGTGGGCTCTGGCTCTCTTAAGCACTAGGCTCCAAGGTAGGCCCAAAGGCATTATAAGTTAAAATAAACACTCATAATTAATAACCTCGAGTTTAATGGCTTATATTGCTTTATTATTCCATACTTTCAGAGGTGTAAAATAGTCATTTTATTATTTTAATTTATACTTCCTTAATTTCCAGTGAGATGGAAACTCTTCCTATTTTCTAGTTGTATTTTTTAGGGGTACTGGTATTTTGTTTCTGGTTCATTTTCCCTTTGGGGCGGTCTTCTCATATTTCTATAAAACAGGTACCAATGTAATCTGAGGAGCAAATGCAGCCCTCAGATACACTGGTTCCATGTAGTGTTAAGAGATTTCACATCAAAATCTGTATTTCTAGCTTCTTTGCAGAATAGTCAGATCTGGAAATACTAGGCCCACAATCCTCTGTGCAAGCAATAAGACAGAGCTGAGTAGCAGCTTGGTCCTTCAAAAGGGCCACAGGCTCTCAGTCTAACACAGTCTCACCTCACTCAGGTTAAGTCCATTACCTGGGCCCAGTTACCTCATTTATATCACCTGCCTGACCCTGCAACACTGCATCTGTATGCTGTGCTTTACAGTATTAATTCTTCACCCATCATTCCATTTTGTCCTGTATGTTATTTTTTAAACGGGCACATCAACTCACTAGAGAGAGAAGAGGGAGAAAGCACCCCAACAGCACGGTCATGCAATTCTTGTCCTCCCATCTCTCCTTCCCGTCTGGATCGGGGCCATGCAGGCATGCACACAGGCACACTTGCCCAGCATATTTTCAAGATGCCACAGTCAGGATTTGAACCATGGTCAGCCTAGTGGGATCCAGCTCTCAGAGCACAGTGCTTACCTACCGCACTACAGGGCTAGCCTGCCTGTTAGTATTTTTTGAGTGTGCAACTTTTAAATTTCTCTAGTCATATTATTCTTTTAAATTTCTCTCCTCGGGAAGTCACTGCTTACTCTCAGAAGGAATATACTAAGGATTATTCTCTGGGTGGTACAGCATCATTACTCATCTTCCATTACCTTCTCCAAATACTAAGTTCTCTTTAAAAATCTTGGGACTTTCTCCAGAGGGGTGAGTGGTGATGGGGTAAAATGTGCCAGCTGCGAGGCTGACCCATGTGGAGGTCCTGGGTCCACCTCTGGAGGCCTCCCTGGATGCTCCAGCACATGTGTGCCTGTGATCCGGGGCTGGCTGAGCTTGAGCAGGCTGTGGCACCAGGACCCTGTGGGGGCGCTCTCTCGCTCACTCAAGGAAAAATAAGCAACAAACTTGGGGGAAAAAAGTCTTCGAGTTTTTAAACCAGAAAGAACTTTGTATTCATTCATGAACTGAAGACCCGTATGAATTTGGAAACCATGCAACCCCACAGCTCAGGCCTGGATCTGTCTAGTTACACTGAGCTGCTATTAGGCGAGTGGCCACCAAGGATGACCCCAAATAGACCACTCAAGAGAGGTAAAGTAAAACTGGATAGATTGAGGAGTCAGAAAAGGGGAGGGGACCGCTGAAGATAGACGAGACAGCAGAAAGTGGACAATGAGGCGCTCTGACAGAAGAATCGTGCAATGAGTTTAAGGGACGAAGAGTATGAATGTCACTGATGCAGAGGATTCGTGCGGATGGATGAAGGAAGCTGGAGGCCGGACTGGCTGGGAAGGCGGCAGTCGTTGGGGCCTGGGTAAGGCTTTCAGTGACGCTAAGGGAAAGGCCTCGTCTCTGGGGTGTAGTCACCATCACACTGAACACCGCACGGCCAGCTTCGGATCCCTGGCTCAGATGAACGGAAACATGCCAGGCATGTGCCCAAGATACCAATGCGCTGGAGGGCTGGGAGAGGGGACCGCAAGGGACCAGAACTTGTTGACAGTTTCTCTCTCTCTCTTGCATGTGCATGCACATGTTCCTTATCATGAGTAAAATAAATAAGCTTAAAAAAAAAAGAAGGGTGAAATTCAGAATTCTTTTTTTTTTTTTTTTGAGATATTTTCACTGTAGGGCGCGTGCGCTCGCCAGACAGACAGAGAGAGACATAAAGACAGAAAGCGAGAAATCACCCCCCAGTGGGGATGGTCACGCCGCAATCCCTTCTCCTCCATTCTCCTCTCGGGATCTTGGGCACACACGCACACACACCCGGCGTGAGTTTAAGCCACCGGGTCCGGGACACGAACCGCGGTCAACTACGTGGGAGTCCAGCGACATAGCCATTATGCTAACTGCTGGTTCCCCGAAATTCAGAATTCTTGAAGAGTTGGTAAAACTTGACAGTGAAGTGAAAGAAAACAAAGAGAAGTCAACCTTGTAAGAGGTTGATTTTGTGAGGACATTTGTTCAATGTTAGAATTCTCATGTACAGTCCCCAAGGCTTTCATAAGATTGTATAACAGAGGTCAGCCAGTCCCAGCAAAACATTTAGTGCCAGAAATATAAATCAGGAACTTCAAATGTTTATACTGCATGACACCAATTCTCTTACTAGACATTTTGCCCTAAGAAGGTAATTGGAACATACCTACACATTTCTAAAATATGGAAGTGGGCTGGCCCTGTGGCCTAGTGACTAAGGGAGCTGGATCCTGCATGGACGACTACATGGTTCAAGTACCAGACCTGGGGGGGACTGAGAAACACACTGGGTGTGTGTGTGTGTGTGTGTGTGTGTGTGTGTGACCAAAATCCCCAAAGGAGGAAGAGAGAGGAGAAGCAAATGTGGTGTGATCACACTCTTTTGGGGAGAGCTTTCTCCCTCCCCTTCTCTGTCTCTCCCTGGTAAATAAAAAAGAAAACAGTAACAAAAAAGAATAAGGATGCTTGTGATTACTGCAGCTTTATATATAACACCGAAAAAACTGAAAGCAACCTGGATGCCCAAGGGAATGGTTAAATAAATGGGAATGCAGCACAACTCTAGTTTTTTTTTTTGAGAGGTTTTTGCCATAGGGCGCGTGTGCTCGTCAGAAAGACAGAGACAGAGACAGAAAGTGAGAAATCACCCCCCCAGGGGGGATGGCCACGCTGCAATCCCTTCTCCTCCATTCTCCTCTTGGGATCTTGGGCACGCATGCACACGCACCTGGTGTGAGTTAAAGCTGCTAGGTCCGGGATGTGAACCGCAGTTGACTACATAGGAGTCCAGCGACATAGCCATTACGCTAACTGCTGGTCCCAGCACAACTCTAGTTTTGAAGAATATATAATAATATAAGAAAATGCTCATTTCTTACTTGGAAAAAATCTACCAAAGGAAATTTTCTGAGCCCCTGTCCCTGACTGTAAGTATGCCTTACCTGGTGGGACCCACTTAGGTCTCTTACTCTCAGCTGGAGGGCTGCACAGTTGTAATGGCTTCTTGGTGGCCTCTGAAGAAAGGGGAGCCTTTTTTGGTGAAGACTGAGATTGTGGTCTGATGGCATCAGGAGCAGAGTCCACTGAAGTCAGTTATTGCAAAAACACATAAAAAAGTCGATCATAGGAAGAAAAAGTTTAACATATATGTATAAAAATTGTAAACTTACAAAACCGTATAAAAAGTAAAAATGTAGTACCGCCAATGTTATTACTCAGCCAGTGTGTATTGGAAGCCTACATACAGCCGTCTTCTCTGAGCGTTTACATGCCAGGCAGTTTGGTAAGCATAGTGCATATATTACAATACTTGAAACCGTCAAATCAACTCGGATACAGAAACACTCTCCCCCACTGTCACATAGGGGCACAGAAAGGTTAAGAAGCTGCCTGTTCTTTGAGAGCTTGGAGGGAAGCACCCGAGCCGGGATGAGGGACTAGGTAAGACTCCCTGCGAGCATTCCACAGCAGCCCCTTCCGTGAGCATCCACGAGACAATACATCAGGCTCTAAGGTTACAAAGACTTGTGGACCTTGTTCCCAGGAACTGATGGCCTGTCACGGAACTCCAGTGAAAGGACAGTACAGTAAAAACGTGTGTGTGCCGCAGCATGATGGGGTATGACAGACTATAGGTGAGCCCAGTAGGAAGGGAACCTATGATCTGGGTGTAAGTGTTTAGGGGTCGCTGGATGGTGGAGGGACGGTCTGAGCTGGATCAAGGCTGTGAAGATCAGTTGAGGGGGGTTTTCTAGGCAGAGAGAATAGAGCATGCAAATCCAGAGAATACGGCGAGTTCCAGGAGCGGTCCCGGTTTAGCAGGGCTGGAATCTCCAGGGCAGGGCAGGGCAGGTGAGATGATGCACTCCCTCCACACTAAGTGCAGATCACTTAGGAAGGCTCTGCACAACCTAGTCATAACCAGGTATTAGTTTTTCTCCGGAGTGACTTGCGGTAGTGTAGGGCAAGTAGACCACTTGGAAGGCTATTACGGTAACATACAGGAGGTGAGGGCCTGAACGAAGGTGGAGAATGGAAGGAAACAGCACAGTAGATACACTTTAGTAATTACAGGGGAGGAGGCAGTCATGGAGGTGGAAAATAATCCACAACCTGGAAGTTTCTGCCATGGGCACACTGCTAAATGGTGTCATTTACCTAGAGAATGACCACAAAAAGGGAGGAGGTTTTGGTTCTAGCTTGAGGGTGAGAAGAGGTAAATTCACCTTCAGGTAAGGCTTGTTTTAAGTTATCTAAATCCACATGAATATTCTCGCTGTACACTCTTCCTAATGTCAACATCTGAGTCCCAGGGCCAGCAGGTCGCATAGCAGTTATGTTGCTGGACCCCCACAGGGCTGACCATGGTTCAAGTCCAGGACCCGATGGCTTGAAAATCATACCAGGCCTGTGTGTGTACAAGATCCCTCGAGAAGAATGGAGAAAAAGGAACTGTGGCATGGCCACCCCCCTAGGGGGTGATTTCTCACTTTCCTTCTCCCGGTCTCTGTCTCTCCTTCCAGTGAGTACAAACCCTTGATGGCAAAAACTGCTTAAAAAAAACTGGGTCCCCTAGACCAGTGCTGTCCAACAGAGCGCTCTGTGACGACAGAAATGTTCTCTATTTTGTGCTGTCCAACATGGCAGTCACTAGCCAAGTGTAGAAACTGCACCTGAAATGCAGCTAGCAAAACTGAGGAACTTGTTTTTTATATTTTACTTAATTTTAATGAACTTAAAATGCAATAGAACCACGTGTGGCTAGTGGCTACTAGAATAGATAGCACAGTTTTTTGTTTTTTGTTTTTTTTTCAGTTTTGCTATAGGGCACATGTGCTCACTAGAGAGAGACAGACAACGTAGAGAGAGGGAGAGGGGAAGCGAGAAATCACCCCCCAGAGGAGATGGCCACATTGCAATCCCTTCTTTTGGAATTTTGGGAATGTGTGCACTGGTGCCCGGCATATTTCTTAAGCTACCAGGTCCAGGACTTGAACTGTGCGGTCAACCATGTGAAATACAGTCACCTTAACTTCCATGCCATCTGCTAGCCCACAGCACAGCTCTTAAAATGTTCTCTATCGAGGGAAAAATTATAACGTATGCTAGATAAAACACCCTTACAGGTTACACAATATGTTATCAGTAGTACCAGAAATAAACCAGTTTTTCTAATCCCTAATCCTATTTTTTTTAACAATTATATTTTACTTCTAATATTACATATTAATCTCTCTCGTTCCAAGGTATACAGAAAAGATTATTTTTCTTTCAGAGAGGTTTTTGCCATAGGGCATGTGCGCTTGCCAGAAAGACAGAGAGAGAGACAGAAAGCGAGAAATCACTCCCCAGGGGGATGGTCACGCCGCAATCCCTTCTCCTCCATTCTCCTCTCGGGATCTTGGGCATGCACGCACATGCACCCGGCGTGAGTTTAAGTCACCAGGTCTGGGGTTTGAATTTCAGTCTACTACATGGGAGTCCAGCAACATAGCCATTACACCATCTGCTGGTCCACAGAAAAGATTTTAAAAGGTAAATTCTAATTTGAAAACCAACTTTTGGTGTGTCATGATAAACTAGAATACACAAACATTGAAGAAAAAATATACTTTGGCTTTTTAAATTATAGCTTGTGGTAAGCAATGATAATTGGCCCTCGAAGATGCCTGTATCCTAATCACCAGAATAGGTGAGTACGCTGCTCTACGTGGCAAAAGGACTTTGCAGATGCAACAGTCTTGAGCTGGGGAGACTATCTGAACTGTCCAGATGGCCCAGTACAACCCAGGGGTCCTTAGACGTGACGACGAGAAGCAGGAGTCAGAGTGAGAGTGCCCTGCTGTGAGAAAGCCCCCGCTGCCAATCCTGGCTCTGAAGATGGAGGGGGCACAAGCCCAGGAACACGGATGCCCTCTAGGAGCTGGAAAAGGAAGAAAGCAGGATCTCCCTGAGAGCTTCCTCGAAGGAGCACGGCCCTGCTGACAGCCTGATTTTGGCCCAGTAAGAACCATTTTGGACTTCTGGCCTTCAGAACAGTACAACAGTATGTGCTGTTTGAAGCCACTTAGTTTACTGGGTGGTCGGAAATGTCATGATGGATTTTCGCATAGAAAAACAGAAAAATATGTCATGACTTTTCCAAGGACCCAATGATTTTCTCTCTCAAAGCCCCTAAATTTGAAATCCAAGATCTGAAAACAGATGAATTTGTCAATTTAGAACCCAGCAGAGGGAAAGTAAAACTTAACTAGTATTTGACTCTAAGTACTCAATTTGCTATTTAACGCAAGAGCAATTCCTTCATTAAAAAATGGAAAACATGAATAATGGAACTACAATTTGAAATAGCATATATTTTCTATACATAAAAATGGGTATCAATAAATAAATTTGGTTAATAAAGGTTAGGTTTTACAATAATCTATTATAGATTATGAACTCAAAAATATCCTAACTTCTTTTACACGAAAGCAGGTATTCCATATTGAATTCATTACAAATTCTTTTTTTTTTAATTATTTTATTTAATTTTATTTATTTTAATTTGACCACAGAGGGACAGAGTGAGCGAGCAAGCGAGAGAAAGAGAGAGAAAGCAAGCTGCCAGGTCTGGGACTCACACCACAGTCAGCCATGTGGGAGCCAGCATCCTTAACCACCACGCCACCTGTTGGCCTTGAAGTCATTACAAATTCTAAGATGTACTGTGAAAATAGTTCCTAACTGAATTTGTTTAGGAAAAATGAAAAAGGGCCCTAAACGTGTGGCAAAAAGCTCTTAAATCAAAGACACGAGTGAAGCACAAAAGCAAGAAACTAGAACCATGCACACTTCCCCTTTTAGTTTTCCAGAGAAAATGTGGTGGGTAGAGCTGAGGCTCTGAATGGACAAACCCGGGTTCCAATTCTAGCTTCTCCCTTCTTAGAGTCAAGATTTGCAACAAATTATTTACCCTCTGTGGGCTTCAGCTGTCCTACAGTAAGGTGACGGGGTGATCAGTAAGGTGACAGGGTGATCAGTAAGGTGATGGGGTGATCAGTAAGATGACGGGGAGGGTGATCAGTAAGGTGATGGGGGAATGATCAGTAAGATGATGGGGGGGTGATCAGTAAGGTGACGGGGGGGGGATCAGTAAGGGGAGG